GGGGGGTGGACAACTGAAGTCGAAAGTGGCAGATACACCGCGGCGGGCGGCAGGCGTGGTGGGTGTGCATCACCGTGCAAAGTATGACATCCTGGAGCTCACCACACTGCTTTGCGCAGATAAGCTACCGGGGACTTCGGAGAAAGAGCGAGTAATTGCAGGCTGTGAGTGGCAATCGCTAGCCCTCACCTTTGCAGTGCATACTAACCGCCCTTTTAGACCCATTAAGCTACTTGCGGTGTCCTTGTATTGAAGCATACCAACCTGGGTATGACATCCGAAGACGCATCACCAAGTTCCTGGTCAGTATTATGGACTAAGGCTGCACATAGGTTTAGGTCAGTATGTAGGTAGATCCATTTTGAGCCAGATATTACCTGTAGGTTCAGGTCTGTTGGGTTCAGGTACCCATGACACTGATCAACCCCAGCTCTAGATCAAGATGCCCAAAATTTACAGACCCATGATATAGACCTATGCTACCTAGGCAGAGCCTGTCTGAAATATAAGCATAGACACATCATAATATAGAAGCATAGCACTTAAATGTATACTCATCACCAAACATCCTTTACAAGATGACAACAGCAGCAGTATAATATATAATNTCACTCATTTCATCACTCAACCAATGGTTGTTGACTAGTCACTAGAGTGTATGTCTCAGTGTCTCTATGCATTCCCTTCCATAATATAAACTCTGATCATGGCTCATAACTTATGTGTGTTCTCTGTGCTATGTTTTCTGTGTGCTATCTAGTAAGTCTGTCGCTTTTTGGTGTATTTTAATTTTGAATTGCTCTTGCTATTGTGCTGTATCATCTGTATGCAAATGAGACAAACTTGTCGCATTTTTAGCATTGTTATGTCAGAGATAAAATCTCTATGCTTAGTGTCTATATAGGTTTCAAATGGGTCATTTGCAGTACTAGGTCATTTTGCAGGTTGACCTGTAGGTAATAGGTATAGGTTTCTAGGTTATAGGTACCTAAGACCTTATACCTATGCAGCTCTGGATCTAAGTGAATGATCTCCACATACCCATGGGTATAGGTCTAGATCACCTACAGATCGTCCTATGTGCAGCCTTATTATGGACAGCAACACTGCGCAAGTCGCTCACGCGCTGCCCAAAGTCATCCCTGTGTGGGGAAAGGTGCATATCGGCAACAGCGGCAACACTATCCGTGCAATGATAGGGTCACAGCGGTGTCTCGGCACCCATGAGCATAACTCATCATTTGTACGGGTACATTATTCATATGGGAGTCACACGCAGCACGCTGACATTTATCTAGTACAAGACACTGGAAGTAGACGAAACTGGCCGTGAAACATGGGGTGTGTACTACAGCGAGCTTCAAGCAATACTCAAGTGCATACTCGATTGTAGGCTGGTGTGGGGTGAGTATGCTGGGACCACATTTCTGCTCACCCTCATATGACCCTGCGAGATGAACAGCTCTGATGTGACAGAGTTGGTGACACTCTACTGGGAGGTCCTTGCGGATGTGGTCGTGGACTTGCAATCAGTCCAGGCCGTGGTGGGGCGTGTGAAGTCTCGGGATCAGTGGGGTATCATAGACCGCAGTAGAGGGCTAGCGCAGACAGTGTTCAATACAGAAGATGCCCCAGCAGGAGATGGGGAAGTGTCCGATGTCGGGAATAGCGTCGAAGATGAGGATACAGACTGATTCAGTGTGCACCATGGTTCATTCTCACATAGTATTTATTTGCTTGCTGCTGGCTCTTCTTTGATTTACCTCCAGCCCCGTGCTAGTTGTACCAAATAACTCAAACAGTCCCAATATCCACGCGTGGGCGTATTCACTTCTGCGTGCACTGTTCCTCACTGCTCGTGTTTGCCACCTTTGCATGTGAGTACCCCCCCCCTCTCTGATCGCCTTCAGGTTGGCTAGCTCAACATCAACGTACCACCAAACCTGCTCAAAGCGATGTTCAGCTTATTGACTTCATGTTCAATTCTGCAGGTTTGCACGACCCATATAGCACCAACACCTCTGCCAACTCGTGCCTACCGACACATCCCTTGCGATCTATCTTGCATGGCAGAAGCATTGTGCGCACGCAGGGCTGTGTGTGGGCGAAGGAAAGAGCCTGAGCTCATTCTCCGCCAAAGAGTCAACTCTGGCGCAGCGGCACGGTCGCGAGGCTTCAGGTGGACTTGAGTCATGTACAAGGGTGACGAGAAACGGGTCTGGGACATCTGTTCTATTGGTGTAAGATTGGCGTGTATGGTAGGTGGTGCTAAAAGCTGTTGGGAACAGCTCTAAGTGGTGTCACTGTGGTGAACACCTCTATTAATTGTGAATATACAAGGTGTGCGGAACACCTCCTCGAACAGCTCGCAAACAGAGGGGTTCAAAACACCGATTTATATTATACATCATTTTAAGTGTGTCGGGTTTCAGTGTTCGAAACACCTATTCTGGAGCCGGAGGTGTTCTATACACCTCACATCAGCATGAATTCTTCCCACAGTGGAGCAGAGCTTCCTGGCTCCAGTTCCAGGTGCACCGCATTTGGTAGGCTTTTCCATGCAAGTAGGGGGCATTGTAGGCCTTCGAGCTGAGAGAAAGAGAGAAGCTGAAGGTAGGATGATAAACAGAGATAGGAGAGCAAAGGGCAGAGCAAAGCATGGGAGTGAACAGCACGCAGGCTGCACTTCCGGCGCTTGTTTGCCATGTTGGCGCCCGAAACGCGCAAGTCTTTCTGAAGACATCCTAAGTTTGCAGGCATAATTTACTAAGCTCTAAAACCCATACAGAGTTGCTTTATGTATGCCATAGTATTATATTCTGAAGTAAAATTGCTTCACACAACACTGTGGAAGCTTTTACAAGAGTAACAAATGGGACCAAGAAAAGCACCCAAACGAGTGGTCAGAGTGTGTGAGGCGCCGAAGGTGGTCGCATAGCAAACAGAGCAGGCAAAGACGACATGCGGGGCTCGCTATGGACAGCCTTCCAGCAACGAGACTAGCGGCCCCTCAGTTGTCCTGTTTGCCTCTTGATCAGTCCAGACGGGTGTTTGATGACATGACTTTTCGTTGGACGGCCGGACAGATGCCTATTTACAGGAAAGGGCATGATACATGAGGCTGTCCATTCTCTGGCATGGTACGGCAGGCCTGGCCGCTTGTTGATTCTCACTGGGGCTCACGGCTCAAGCATGCGATCATACAGTGCACAACCTTTCGGACCCGTGAACACGTTGAAGCCTGAGGCCTGAGGGTCTGAGATGGGATGATGGTATAGAACCGAGAAATACTCAGCATGTCGGACGAGATTCCTGGCCGGTTGTTCCGCATGTATGTCCCACCGTCGGAATTTGGCATTATCTCCTCCTTCCATCGGTTCGATGGTGTAGTTGGTTATCACGTCTGTCTCACATTTCTCAACGCCTGGGCGCGAACAGCGTAAAATGGGTGCACAGGAGGTCTCCGGTTCGAGCCCGGGTCGAACCACTTTTTAAGTACCTTTTCCTCGTTGTTTTTGCCTTTCTTCCTTACCTTAAGTTTTGCACATTGTTCGAGAGGATGTCTAGCATGCGGTAAAAAGCAAATCAGGCGGCATCTCAGGAAATTTGTGGCCTCGTAGACGAAAAGAGTTGACACCGTCCGCGGTGTCTTGCCACAAAAGGCAATCTCATCTTGACACTGAACCACGATGTCAGTTTGCGGGCTTGGGGATTGATCTTACGCTGTGAACTAGGTATCGTTCACCATAATCTCTAGGCTTGTAAGTGATCCATTGTTCAGCGGGGCTGGCTAGAGACTGACATGGTGGCAGGACCGTAGCGACGAGTGTACAAACCGCCACCGCCGGCATGTCCTCGCGGCTCACCACTATCAAGGAGAAGGCCGTCTCACTGGCTCGAGCTGACCATGGGTGTCTGCTCGTGCTCTCCTTTGCCGCCAATCTCCTCACATTCGCCCTGACTCTCGTATCCTCCCAATTCCCGCTCTTCGATGCATCGCCACATGTTCTCTTGCCGCCCCCGCCACACTTCTCACTCCGCCACACCCTAGCGTCGGCCGTGCTACGATGGGATGCATTCCACTTCGCCCACATCGCCAGAGAGGGCTACGTGTACGAGTACGAATGGGCGTTCCTCCCGGGCGTACCGTGGATCATGTCCCACATCGTCCACCTCGGCCCCGTCCTCGGCCGGTCTGCACGCGCCGCGCCTCGGTGGGAGCTTCTCCTATCCAGGGCGCTGTGGTCTTCAATACTGTCGATGTTCTCTGCGCACGCGCTGTATGACTTGACGGCGCTGCAGTTCGGGTCGCGTCCAATCGCGCTGCTCGCCGCTCTGCTGTCACTGCTGCCCAGCAGCCCTGTTACGCTGAGGATCGCGGGGTACACAGAGACGTTCTTTACCTTGAGCTCGTATCAAGGTACGCTGTGGCTGTGTGTGTATGGTCAACACGACTGAGCTATTCGTGCTTTACAGGTATGTTGTGTTGCGCCAAGAAGCAATGGCTCTGGGCGACATTTTGTTTCATGCTCGCGTCGGCATTCCGCTCAAATGGCATACTGTTGAGCGGCTTCATCTTGTGGGGCCTCGTAGTAGAACCCTTGCTCGAAAGCAGTAAGGTGCGTGTCTCCGCGCTGGCATCCCGCGTCAGTGTTGACGCACAATGTGACAGATTCGAGTAGGCCGAACGCTCTATGCGGCGGCGCTGTGCGCACTCGTCCTCGCGCCGTTCGTTTACTACCAATACGTCGCTTACCGCCTCTTCTGCCTGAACGTCCCCTCGCCAGCACCCTGGTGCGCCGCCTCCCCGCCGTCGATCTACACCTACGTGCAGAGGAAGTACTGGAACTCCGGCTTCCTGCTGTACTGGACGCGCCAGCAAATCCCAAACTTCCTCCTCGGCGCGCCCCCGCTCATCCTGCTCTTCACCTTCACCCTGCGCTACATCCGCCTCGCACTCCTTCCCCGCCTCCACGCCTTCATCTCCCCTCCGACTCCTACTGGTGCCAAGTCGTCCGACGCCCCGACGCCCCCGTTCCTCCCGCGGTCAATCGCGCCGCACGTGATCCACGCGCTCATTCTGTCCCTCCTGCTCCTCTTCGCGTCGCATACGCAGATCGTGCTGCGCGCCGCGGCGTCGATGCCGCTGACGTACTGGGCCGCGGCGTGGCTCCTCGTCGAGCGGCCGGCGTGGGGGCGGTGGTGGGTCGGGTGGAGCGTGATTTGGGGCGCGGTCAGTTGTGTGCTGTGGGGGGTGTTCTTGCCTCCGGCGTGAGATGTAACAGTCTACCCGAGGACGAGGATATGTTTCTAAGGTTCTTGTAGATCTACAGGTACAAATGTATCATCTACTTTCTCCTAGATGGCGCCTAGGGACAAACATAACCTTCGTGAATACTGAGGTGTGGCTAGCCGTTCGCATGACACGAACGTTAGGATTTAATTATCCGTGGGCATGTTTGTGCAGCCAAACTTGTTCAAGTTGTGTGCAAAGATTCAGAACGCGTCGGACGAACGGGACATCTGAGGCTTTCCGGATTTGTCATGAAATGAGCGCTTACTCAACACGCGCATCAAACGATTTCAGCGTTACACAAATGAAATGGCCGCGATTTCCGTCTGACGACTTGTGCAATCTCGCCACCCGGAATTCAAAGCGAGGTCGACGAGGCGGAGGACCAGCGGTCGAGTGATGGCTGGAACAGGCCAGAGGAGCGAGACTGCGGGGGAGGGAGCCCTAGGCGGGGAAAGCCACGTGCGCAAAAAGGCAAGGCCCATTTAGCCGGGTCGTACGACAACCGCTGGCGCCGTCCAAAAATCCGAGAAACAGGTCATAAAAACGCCCACGGCCTCCTCCCGGTCGCCACGCCGGTTGTCTCTTGCCTCTCGTCTGTCCTCCGAGTCCCATCTCCCGCAAACGGGCCACCGACAAGACAACCGCCGACGCGCACGCGCACGCACAGACGACCGCCGCCATGAACTCGACGGCTATGCCGGGGCACCCCACTGCGGCCATGCTCTACGCGAACACGGACTTTTCCCAGCTCAACTGGTTCGAGACCCAGTGGGTGAACTGGTATCTGTGGCTCGGAAACCCCATCCTCGCGACGGGCCTGGCGAGTTTCCTGCTGCACGAGGTGCGTCCGCGTTTTCTTGGCGCGCTGGTGGACGCGCGCCGACTAGGCTGCTTTAGGTCGTGTACTTTGGGCGCTGCATCCCCTGGATCATCATCGACGCGATCCCGTTCTTCAGGCAATGGAAGCTGCAGCCCAACAAGGTCCCGACGGCCAAGGAGCAGTGGGAATGCACCAAGCAGGTCCTCTTCTCGCATTTCATGGTCGAGCTCCCGGTGGTACGTGCCCTCGGCCCCGTGATATCCATGTTCGCGCGTGCTGACTGCTGCGCCCAGATTTGGCTCTTCCACCCTCTCGCTGAGGCGTGCGGCATGTCAACATGGCAGGTGCCCTTCCCCAGCTTGCGCCAGCTGCTCCCCCAGATCGCGCTGTTCTTCGTCTTCGAGGACATGTTCCACTTCTTCGCGCACCAAGCGCTGCACTGGGGCCCGCTCTACAAGCATATTCACAAGATCCATCACAAGTACTCGGCGCCATTCGGTCTTGCGGCCGAGTACGCGCACCCTGCGGAAGTCATGATCCTCGGCACGGGCACCGTCGCCGGCCCCCTGCTTTACTGCTGGTTCCGCCAGGATCTCCACATCGTCACTGTCTACATCTGGATCACGCTCCGTCTCTTCCAGGCCGTCGACGCGCACTCCGGCTACGGTATGTCCCACTTGACCTGCGTTTCGTACGTACGTACAGCCACTGACGGCTCCTCGCTCGCCAGACTTCCCCTGGTCCCTGCAGCACATCCTGCCGTTCTGGTCCGGGGCCGAGCACCACGACTTCCACCACATGGCGTTCGTGAACAACTTCTCGACGTCCTTCCGATGGTGCGACCGCCTGTTCGGCACGGACGACAAGTACCGGGCGTACCGCGCGCGCATCACGAAGATGAAGAAGCTGAACCTCTCCCCCGCCGAGTTCGAGAAGATGGAGCGCAAGATGATCGCGGAGGCGGAGCAGGAGGGCCTGCGTGCGGAGGCGGAGGTCGAGGCGTACACGTTCTCCGGGAAGAAGAAGACCGCATAGGCGGGGTCTCTTTGGCTGTTGGGGATTTCTGGCGACGGATAGCATATACTAGAGGCAATGTTCACATACCCGCTGCTTTACCTATAATCACGTAATGTACCTCTATCGCTATGCAGATGTGCGAGTCCGCTGTGGGGATAGGCTTGCGACATCGATGGCCTTCGCTGGGTGTTCAATGTTTAGGTGCTCCTTGGTCAGTGCCGCTGTATCCCATGCATATGCTCTTCGGGTCAGTGCATCTTTTTGACAGCTAAACAAGGACGGACTGGACAGGGTGCACGACATCGTCAAGTCCAATATGGAGATACTGTCGCCAACATTGCAGGTGGCTGCGCTGTTATAACGCGGGGTGGCACACGATCGCGGCCCACACCGCGGTGTCCGTGGTGAGAATTGCGATCGCGCGGAGACTCGGGGAGGCCAGATGGCCGTCCTCAACGGCGCGACACCTGCGATCGAGGTGGCGAGGATACGACTTGTGCGCGCGATGCTCAAGTATCCTTCTGCCTGGGTACCGGGCGGGATACGTATAAAGTCCAGTGTGGCGGGCGCTGAGCGATGGAGGCGACCACGCGTGCGCCCAGTCGTCCAATGTAAATGAGGGAGCATGCCAGTACCCATGCAACACCTGTTATGCCAGAAGACGAACCGCGAGCTAGCAGGTTGAACAAGCATGGTCTACTACCCGGAGCAGATGGTGAGTTAACTGCCGATGTACGCCAAGAGAAGGTACCGCGCGCCCAAGGTTCGCTGTGTCGGAGAATCTATCTATTCAGTACTACACGAGCCACAAGAGAACATGACAATCGGCGGAAGAGGTTGAACGTTGAATATAAAGTGCTGCCGGCGCCCCAACATATTTGATTTTGTGGAGGCAGCGCGAACGTTCCTACTGTGACGACCCAAATTGGCGTTGGGTGTGGGCGTGACTTTAAGCCACTTCTCTCATCCTCGCCTTTGCGCTGGACGGCGTCGACCCATCGCCCGCTTATCGCTCTCTTTCTTCCCCTCTCCCGGCGTGCTCCTCCTCTGTCGATACCCTCGGACCCACCATGAACAAACGCAGAGAGGACAGCAAAATGGCAGCCGGTTACTTCCGCCTAATGGCCTTCCCAGTCGAAATACAGGACCTCATCTTTCAAGAGCTCGAGATGGCCGAGCTGCCCCCCGTGCTGAGGGTCAACAGCCACTTCAACTCCATCGGCACCCGCATCCTCTACCGCATCATCCCAGAACTACCCATGAAACGCTGCATCGCATGCTTAAAAGTTCTATGCGCAACACCCACAAATGCAGCCCTTGTCCGCAAACTCAGCATCGACTGGTCGAGCCACCG